TTTTCATAATACAGATGTTCTGAGAAAGGAGGAGGAGGAAAAAAGGATATGTTATTATTTTATATATCAAAAAATATATTCTTGTTTCAGGTCCAAGGGAAAGATCTGCTGAGTGTTTTTTTAGTGAGGATAAAATGTGGGGGGAAACATTAGTGATATTATGGTGGGGATCTACTATGGATGACCAAATCTGTAAGAAATAAATTATACATTCTTCAAGCAGGAAACAAGAACAAGAATTAAAAACTTATGAAATTACCAGTGGAGGATTTTAACTTTCCTGATATCTGCTGGAAGAATAATACAGCAAAACAAGTATCATGGTCCTTCACAAGAAAGTGAAGGCATGAGAAAAGCAAAACAGGGACCCTAGGCTTCTAAAGAGCAAACTTTGACTGACTAAAAATCTATAAGTCCATAAGACCTGGGAACTAGGCCATTGCTAAAGGACATAGTATTGGAGGCTATTCTAACTGTCTTCCAGCATGGTAGAAAGATAACTGAAGGAGACAATCATTAGCTACCTAAAAAGCAAGTGTAAAACATACAGGAAGTATACTAAGGAATAGGAAGAACAAGTAGGGCCCATTCAGAAAAGCAAAGGCAAAATAAAAAACCAAAACAAACAAAAGAAATGCAACTAGTAAAAGATGATAAAGACAAAAACAAGGAGTTCTACATATATGTCCAATTGATAAGGCTGAAAAAAGGAAAAAAAGGAAAAAAACCCCCAGGGTCCCACTCTTCAAAGAAGTCAAGCTGGTAATGGAAGACAGAGCTGCTCAATTATTATATCACCTAAATCTTCAGTTAAATAAACAACAATGCAACTAATAAAAATGTTAGAAACAAGGAAGGGTAAAGGCTGGAGGTCATGAGAAAGTGTGCGCTAAGTTAACGGTTTTGACAAATTTGAATGAATTTAAGTCAGCAGCATGAAATCCCAACATACTGAAGGAACTTGTTGAAAATATCTCAGAGTTGCTAGCAATAATATTTTTTAATTGTGCATGACAGGTGAGGTCTTAGAGGACTACCACAATGCTCATATTTTAAAAGGGGAAAAGGAAGAGCATGGTGAATTATAGACAATCTAGTTGCAAGTGCTTTAGAGCAGTGATTCTCAACCACAGTGCCACAGCCATAAGATGCTTTCTGAGATGCCACATAACATTAGCATAGTTAGGTATGCAAACATGATTCACAAGATAATCAAAATGGCCACACCAAATGAGCAGGGCTGTGAGCTTGTAGTGGCACAAATAGCAGCAGCACAAATTTGTGCTGCTACTTTGTGCAACAGCACACGCCCCTGCATGTGCCTTTTCTTGTGGGCTGTGCCCAGCTCCTTCTGGCTCCTGGCTGGGCTTCATGTGCTGTGGGGGTGCTGGCTGAAGCCTAGGATGCCTCAGTGCAGGGATAGCTGGCAGAGAGCTCTCATGCTGAGGCACCCTGCTGCCCAGCCAGCTGTGGAGGTGGCATGTGGAGACAGGGGAGCAGCCAACCCAAGGCTGCCTGCTCCCCCATCTGTGTACACGGTGAAGCCCCCATGCTAAGACACACTGAGGCCTGCATGGCTGGCTGGGGATCTGTGTGCCTCGAGACGGAGGAACAGGCAGCCATGGGCTGCTGCTCCCATATCACTATATGGTGCTTTTTTCCCCAGGTTTTTTCTTTTGCTACAAGGAAATCCTCATAGGAAATGTTGCCCCCATGCTGCAAATTAACCATGCCATGCAACTGATGTTGTTTTACATACAATGCATGCAGTTTGTGGTGCCACAGACTGCACATACCTGCACATCTGGATGCACCCAATGATTTCTAAGAGCCTATAATCTTAGCCAAATTCTGACCTGTTATGGTCTTTCTGATTTATTTGCAATGAAAAAGTTGCTGTGGTATTTTTCCATAGTCAAGAACTGAAAGAAAATTAAGAGCTAGCATTTTCTGAGATGTGCCTTAAGTATAGCACTTAGCTTGCCACAATAGTTGAAGAATTTCTTGAAATTTTGTGGGACAGTCAAACATCATAGCACATTAAATGCTGCTATTGTAATTGAGATGACTGTACTCATCCACCTGATCACTTAAAGACTTAATATGTTCCTTCTTTTCACCTCTCAATAGAAAGAGAATAGTTGTAAAATGAATCTCTCTGAGTCACAGCTTGGCTAAAACAACACCTAAAACGAGGTCCTGATTACAAAACTCCAAATAGCTTAGCAGGTACTTTAAACAGTCAATGCTGATTTGGAACAATACCCAATATGATCAATACTTTCTTACTATTTCCACTTGGGACATTTTCTATACCATGTATACAGCTGAAACTCCTTATAACAGCCACATCTACCTAGGAACAACAAAATGCCAGGGCCCAGACCTATTTCTCATATTGCTACTAACAAGTATTGACTCTGCATGGATATTTATACACATATTTGATGTATATATGTGTGTGTGTGCACATGAGCATGTGTATGTATGTATAATGAATTCCATATATCAAAATTCAGGGCAACATTATTAGAAACAGTGAAGTTATGTTCTGAAAAATGTCAACTGAACTATAATGATGACACAGAACCTCTTAGCAAGTGGGAGCTAAAGGACACATACTAAAGAACTAAGGTAGTTACTGGTTAAGAGCTGATCTGTGTGATTAGACAGGTGCTTTATGGTGACAGTAGAAAAACCTTGTTATATAATCTCTGTGCTCTGCAGAATGTCCTGAGGCAATACTGATGAAAGAAATGGCAAATTATATATATATATAATTATACATTGGCAAAATATATATATATATACACACACACATACACGGAGGATGTGTACATTGGAACTAGAGAAGCAGTATGAATTGTTCTAATATTCCATAAATGAGTAGCACTTTTTGAGATGTAAGGAATTACTGAAGTGTCATCTTCTGCTACTCAATGTAACATCATTTTACTTTGCTAAATCTAATTGCTAGAGATTTTTTGGCTCAATATTAGCAGATCTGTCATTCTGCAATTATTGTGCACAAAGATTTTTGTCCACTAATGTCCTCCTGCATATTTCAGCATTTGAGAGACCTTGCACTTCTACTTAATGTTAAATTAAACATATTATACTTGTGTATAAAGGTTGCTAATAAAAGCTACTAATATACTCTTGGCTTCCCTCGTTATACAGCCCCAAGATGATCTCTATTGCTGAGGTAGAAGTTATAAGTTGCTTTTGGACAAGAGGGCCTGGGGAAAGGATGCAATTAGTAGAATCAGAGTTGTATGATTGATATTTTCCCCTACTAACTTCAGAATATTATGTAGGGGAAGGCTTAATAAAGTCAGTAATGACTAATATTTTGTCCCCTACGTATGTCCATCATAGGTAGGGTATTTTCTACCTCTACCTAAAATCGCTTTTGAGAATTGAATTAAATTGATGAGGCCAGGAACAAACATTACACTGTTACTGGTATTTGTGATCAGAAACCAGTCTATATCCATAACAGAGCAGATGTTTGCTGTGCACAGGGTGCATCTACACATGACCCCAGATGCACAGTTTTTACTGCGCAGTCATTTAGTATTTGCTTTAGCAAGTACTAAATGACTGTGCAGTAACCACCAGTACTGTGCAGGTCCTGCACCTCGTGGGTCATTTCCAACTGAGCAATAGCAGCAGCATCACAGTTTGTGCCCGCTGATGCTGTGTCACTGTAGCAATGCCTGTGTCACCGTAGCCCATCACTATGGCAATATAACATCTCGTGTCCACAGACAAGCTTAAAAATGGTGGAACCTGGTCTAAGATTTGCCCAAAAGATTTGCCCAAAAAGGGCAAATGTCTTCTATTTGCTACTGATCTAAACTATGCTATGTTCAGAAAACCACATCACTTAGACAGATTCCACCTCAGGCTTTTTGAATGTCTGTGCCTCACCTAAATTATCAAATACATCTAAGAAATAATATACTATCTTTTTAAACTATATTCATTTTCAGTAATATAAATTAAGTCAGAAATGCAAAAGTCACAGCCAGTGAATAAGTAACTGGAGCAGCCACAAATAGGGACAGAATTAGCAATGAAAACATATTTTCTATAAATGAATCAAATGAGACTGAAAATTTTATGCATGGGATATATCTATCTCAGGAGAAGGACATGTGCATGTAAAGTATAGCAAAAGTCAGGCAACATTCCTTATCAATCAGAAAAACTACTAGTGCTGAAATCAGCTAATAAGAAAGGTGCTTTTTATGCTCTAGGTAAAATAGTGGGTATGATTTAGATGGAGCTTGTTTTGCTTTGTTTTAGTTTTTTTAGGAGTACTGGTAAAATAATCTGTTAATTTTCAAATAAATGGTAATGGTTTGGAAAGCAGCCATTACCAAATTAGTAAAAATGACAAATTCCAGAGCTGAAGGGAAATGACCCAGTTATCTGATCTACCCTGAGTTCATATTTTCCATTTTACAAGATACTGTATATTTTCATTATCTGGATTCCTGAAATCAATTAAGACCATTCTCAAATACTTCTGCAAAGCAGTTAGGTAGCAATATATTCTGACTGGATGGCAATGGTATGTTTTGTATGAATGGACTCGATGTTCAAGAACCATGTAGAACTCTGGGGAGCCTATTCTTTCCTCAGTACATAGGTGGATTAGAGCATACAGTGACTACTGCCAATGCAAACAGCACACACAAATCTCCCCTGCCTTCTAAGGAGACTACAAGCCTGATTTGCCTCTCATACTACTGTAACTCTTGTCTTTACTGGAATTACCTCAGATCTATACCAGTGTAAATGACTGGGCAATTAGGTGCTAGATCTCCTGAGAATTATATTTTCTTTCCCTGATAAGGTATTTAATTTAGTACTAACCCACACTTTCTTATTTAAATTAGATCCAGAGACAGCTTAAATTGGTGAGTCAGTTTAGCATCACTTCTTTGTGGGGGGCAGATACCTTTTAAGAGTAGTATGTAGAAGAGAAACAGATAAGCTCTCTTATTTCTTACCAAGATTTGTGCATCTGCTTTATTTGCCTTGTTTCAGTAATACACCTTCCTTTCAATCACTGGTATCTTGATTATATTATACTTATCACATCTCATGGAAAAATGATGGAATGGAAAAAATGTATATTTTAAGTGTTCTGAAAATCACAGCTCACTTGTAAAAATTGTCTTTGATGCCAGCAGTTGGACATATCATTGGAAGTTAAATTAGCTAGCTGTGAACTTGGGACACAGTTTGTAATTTAACAAATTTATGTTTTAATATACCTCAGGGAAAATATCTAAGTACTGTATGTATTACCTATCATGTACAGAATATTATTTATGATCTTAAATCTTAAACTGAGAACTTTTCCATATAATTTAACTTTAAAGACCTATATGCCCTACTTTCTTTTACTGTCAAATAACAAGAATGTTAGCGCTAAAAGTTAAAGAAACTTTTTCTCTATTTGGAATAATTTTGTATACTTTTACTTTGTGACGTTTATTAGAATAAGGGATGAAGACCCAAGGGAATCCTGGGAAAGATCACCTAGTCCAGCTCCTCTGTTGAAGGCAGGATCATTCCTTACTAAACCACTACAGCCAAGTGTCTGTCTAATACTCTCTTAAAAAATTCCAGACATGGCAATTTCATAACTTCTGGTGGTAGTCTCTTCCAGTGCTTGACCCCCCTCATAGTTCATAAGTTCCTCCTACTTTCTAACCTAAATTTCCTCTGCTGCAGTTTGACGCCATTGTTCTTTCACAGCCACAGAAAACCCATCTCTATCCTCCTTTATAATTGCCCTTGGGGTATTTGAAGACTGTTATCAAATCCCGTTTTAATCTTCTCTTCTCCAGACAAAATAACCCTAGCCTTTTCAGTCTTTCCTCATAAGTCATGCTTCCCAGGCCTCTAATCATTTTGTCATTCTCCTAGAATCTTTCCAATCTGTCTACACATTTCTTGAAGCATGGGGCCCAAAACTGGACAGAGTACTCCAAGTAAGCCCTCACCATCTCTGAATAGAGTGGAAGAATCACTTCCCATGCTTTGCAAGTGACACTCCTTTTAATACGACCAGTATGCTTTTGGATTTTGTTGTAAGAAGTGCACACTTCTGGGTCTTGTTCAGCTTAAAGTCTACTTTAACCTCCAGGTCCTTGTCTGCAGTTTGTTTTTGTGCATGCAATTATTCCATCCCATATGTAGGATTTTGAACTCATCCTTGTTGAATCTAAAATCTGATTGATTTTGAAACATTTTTCCCATTTATCCAGGTCATTCAGGATCCTAGCCCTACTTGATGTCATCCAACTTGATGTCATCTGAATATTTGCTAAGAGTGTTCAATCCCACTATCAAAATCATTAATGAAGATGTTAAATAACACTGGGCCCAGGACAGACTCCTGGGGAACCCCACTTGATACCTCCCAACCAAATATTGTACCATTGGTGACTACTCTTTAAGTATGTCTATCCAACCAGCTGTGTGTCAGTTTTCCAGGACTTTTGTCTAGAGTGTATTTGCTTATCTTGCTAATGAGAATGCTATGAGAGATAGTGTCAAAAGCCTTGCTAAAGTCATTCACTACTTCCCCCTGATCCACAGAACTTGTCACTTTATCATAGAAGGAGGTCAGATTGGCCTGGTATGATTTGCTCTTGGTTCATCAATGTTGGCTGTTCCTAATCACCTTGTTCTCTCCCATCTTGAAGACCTGTTCTTTGACCTTTCCAGGTATCAAGATCAGGCTGACTGGCTGATCTTACTTATTCCTTTTTTTTAAAGATGGGAGCTATATTTGTATATTTTCCAATCCCTTTCTAATTCATATCATTATACAAATGGTGGAGGTGATCATAGGATGACAGGCTCATAGGAAAGTAGGTCTAGAAGACACTTCACAAGTTCATCTAGTCCAGCCCTCTGCTCAAGGCAGGAGCATCCCTGACTAAATCATCTCAACCAAGCATCTGTCCAACCTGTTACTGAAAATTTGCAGGGTTGAAAATTCCACATTTTTTCTAGTTAATTTGTTCCAACACTTAGCACTTGGAGAACTGAAAGTTCTCTCTAGTCTCCAACCCAAATTTCCTCTGCTGAGACTTGAAGCCTTTGTTCTTAGACTTCTCTCTTATGGCCACAGAGAAAACACCGTCTCAATTCCCTCTATACTTGCCTTTTAGGTACTTGAAAACTGTTATCAAATCCATTCTTACCTTTAACTTTTCCAGACTAAATAACCCTATATTTTCCTTATAAGTCTTCCTTCCCATGCCTCTAATCATTTTTATAGGTATGTGTTGAACTCCTTCCAATCTGTTCACATCCTTCTTGAAGTGTAGGCCAAAATTTGGCATAATACTCCAAGTGAGGCCTCAGCAATATTGAATAAGTAGAAGAATCATTTACCCTGATTTACAAGTGACATTTATTTTAATGCAAACCAGTGTATTGTTGGCCTTTTTTGCACACTGTTGGCTCATATACAGCTTATGCTCTACTGTAACCCCCAAGTCCTTTTCTGCAGTACTGCTGCCTAGTCAATCATTCTCCAGTCTATTTGTTCATGTAATTATTCTGTCTCAAGTGCAGGACTTTACACTTGTACTTGTTGAATCTCATCTGATTGATTATAGACCATTTTTTCTAGTCTATCCAGGTCATTCTCCATCTCTGTTATCCAGTCTTTATAAATGATGAATGATGAATGACTAAAGTTTGACAAAATATAAAACATTTCAGAAGTTGAACATCAGACATGCAAAGAACACTGGATGCCTTCTAGCCTTTCTTTTTCAAGGATATCATTCAAAAGATCTTGGTTCTTTCTGATATGTGCTGTCAACATCCTGTGTGACTCAACTCAGATGGCTTATTCTCACCAAGCCGCATTTTTCTGTGTGAAAAATGAGAATGCTGATACTTTCCCCCATTCCATCTGAATTGCCTTTCCAGAGCTACAGTTGCTACAAGCTCTGAATAATGAATACGTTGTATGTAAACAGCAGTCCCTATTTCCACACTTACTCCAAGCTGGGAGGGCGTTATCTGTATTACACCTTTACAAGGGGCAGATTGCTTTCCCTGCCATGGTTAGATTTCCCTGCATGAAAACAAGGTTTTGTCCCGGTCTCTTTTCTCTATACAGAATGAGACAAGAAAGAGAATATTAGAAGCTGCTCTGTATCTTTCTATAATGCCCTTAGGAAGGGAAGGGGAGGAAAAGTTTAATGTACCTGTAGTGTTCTTGCCCCAGAGAGATCACATGGGGAAGAACAACAGAATCATCTTTATTAACAACAACTAACTACCCTTAACACTAAAGCAGAACAGCCAACAGCAGCATGAGATAATGCAGTTCAGAAAATGCTGATGGAATACAGACTACGTATATAGGCACTCATTACATAACACCTGTCCCCACTTTGGTAACATAGTACTATATATATTTGGGCCAGACAGAGACACATCTTTGCAGCCCACTTCTGGGGTAACACACTACCCTGGCAATGGCAGTTGGCTCTCTCAGCTGTTCTAGAGAAGCTACTGGAAGTGTTGGTGGGTCTAAAATAGCAGCTGATGAACTGGTTTAACTAGAGGTGCAACACTTCTAGTGTCACAGAGGTCACATTGTCTAAGACTCAACCCTGTTTCTGGTCAACATGCCTGTGAACTGTGTTTTTGTCTGTAATCTGGATCTTATATGATACTGGCCCTATAGCTCTAAGGACAGATGCAGGCACCCAATGCATTCCAGTTGCATAGTTCCAGATGTACATGGATTTATTTGGTTCAAAGGTTCTTATAGGTGAAAAATTCTGTTTCTTAGAGAAATGTATTTCTTGCCTTGTCTGATATTTGGCTACCATGTTTGGGTGGAGTCAACCCAAACAGGTTTTAAGCTGGTGCTTCATTAGTAGTTCTGCATCTGTAACCTATAGCAGTGCATGAAGTTGCATGCTATCATGGTAAGAAATTAGCTAATCTTTGGTTCCAGTCACCATTAGTGATTTGCTTCAGTGCATCTTTAGTAGTTTGTACCATCTACTCATGTCGGCCATTTGATGATGGGTGGAATGGTACAGATGCAGAGCGATGGATAAGATTCCCCTCCATAAACTTCATAAACTTTTCAGAAATGAATCACACACCATTGTCAGGCACACTGGTATCTGGAAGACCATGAGTTTTGAACAGCTGCCTTAAAACTTATGTTACAGTGCATTGATGCAATGGAAACAATTTCCAATCACTTTGAGAAAGGATTAGTTACAAAAAAAAAATACCTGGCAAGTCCTTTTATGTGAACAATCCCTGGATATCTCTTGTGGAGAGTGTCAAGAACTCATATTCAACCTACACTGGGAATGACTGCTCTGTAACCCCATAGGACACATTCCTTAAAGACAAAAAGTTCAGTTGTTATGTAATGAATGACCTAAATTCATCTGCAAACTTTGTTGAAGGCCACCCCTTCCATACCCACTTTAGTACCTGGGCTAACACTAGATCTTTAGCAGTCATATGAGCAATGTCATCTTCCTGGAGAGGAGGATCAAATGAGGATTCTAGCATCAGAACTTCAGAAAGAGGAGGAACAGTTACTTGAGGACAGAATAATGGCAAACAACTCAAGGTATCTTCATTTTCTATTGACTTCCCAGGGCGATGTTGAAATTCACAGTCATCTGCATTACAAAGTGAGGACCAACAAAGCATACATGGTAAAATCATTTGGGGTGTTGGTCCACTCTTGGTGAATAACCCTAGGAATGTTTTATGATCTGTGACAATTGTGATTTTGTGGGCATATACATAGCCATGGCATTTCCTAACCCTAGCAACAACTGCAACAACTTCCCTATCAATTTGGGCGTAATTCCTCTCAGACTTATACATAGCAAGTGCATCTACAGGAAATGCTTAACTTTTCACTAGCATAGTTTACTGTGAAGTAAGTATGTACGTCTACACATGCACATGCTTACTTCACAGTAAACCTTCCTAATCCTGAGTAAATTTACTCCATGCAAATGCAAGTAGCAAATTTACTTGAGATTAGTAAAAGCACTGTAGTGTTCGCGTAGACGCTTGACTGGGAGCAAAAGTAGAAGCGGCTTCTCCATGTCATAAAAGACTAGCACACTATCAGACAACAAAAATCATTTCACATCACTGAAAGCCTTGTCGTGTGGTTTAGTCTATTGGTGGCATCTTTATCCAATTGATGATGCAAAGGCTCGGCAAGTGTAGCCTTGTTTTTAAGGAAGGAATAGTAAAAATTAAGCAGACACAGGAATGCTTGTAGTTCCACTTATTCTTAGGTATTGGGGCCTGATAAATGGCTTCTACTTTGTATTGTTGGATAAATTCCAGTAACATCATCTCAGAACCCCAGATACTCCACACTGGTCACTCTAAAAGCATATTTATCTTTCTTAAGTTTCAGGTCAGTATTGGAGATACTTGGACCCTGCTCCAGTGAGCACATCATCAAAATATGTCATGACTCCCTTAAGAACTGCAAGTAAGTCACCCATAACCTATTGCAAAACTCCAGGTGCAATCCTCCAAATTGTGGACACTTGGCTTTAGGTGACAATTGCCTGTGCATCAGACATTTGATCATACACAGAAAGCTGTTGATATGCTTGGGCCAATTCTAATTTAGCAAAAACCTTCCCTCCAACAAGAGTGGAAAGGAGCTGATTTACTGCTGGAATCTGGTATGGGTGTTTCTGTAGTGCTTTATTAATGTACACTTGTAGTCAGCACAATAGGATATGCACTCCTGTTAATTTGATGCCCAATGGCTCAAGGCATTCTCCTCCTAGTAAACTTTCTCTCTGACTTTTGCCAGTTACTAGGCAGAAAACTCCCTCGGTCCTACCCATAGTGGACATTGACATAACAGGCACCCTTCACCCCTATATTTTATTTGTTTTTATCTACAAGCTTAATTTTGCATGCCATAATAGGTGGATGATTTCTAGACCACAGTGAATTGTGCAGCTCTTCTGAGTTCCTGAGTCTACCTCCATAGTATATGGAGCACCTTGGAGAATCACTGTTATGTAGATCATCTTCTGCAGGGCTGGTATTTACACATTACTAACAAATTCAGTAATATAGGTATCTGGGGACAACTCATGAGCTGGAATCTCATTTAAATGAGCAACAGTATTAGTAGCAACTAGACGTGCACTCTCCTTCATTGCCTTATTTTCAGGTATCTTGGACTTCTGACAATACATATGTTCAATGTGAACAATACATGTGTTGCACTGGTAATAGTACCAGTCAGCATCACAGAAATGGCACATATTATGTCTGTGATGTCCCCCACTATAGCGGCTTCTTTGGGAAGAAAAAATCGTATTCTTGTGCACAGGGGAGATTTTTCCCTTGAATGCACTTGGCATGTCTCAGCTGACATCCATTTTTGTTGATGATGTTCCAATTTCCCCTTAATGGAATGAGGCAGCTTCATGGTAGGACTTCTTAGGGATTTGGCCAGGGATATAAATGAGCAAATAACTGGAAAAGTCTTTGAACCAATAGCACTAAGTAACACTCTATGTTTCTGGCTATCATCAATAACCTTATTAGCTTTCAGGAAGAAGTCTAGCTGGTCAGCAGAAGAGTCCCCGGTAAACAAACTGGAAACATCCCATTCTTCAATGTGGTCCATAGTAGCCATGTTAGAGGGCAACTGCACAAGCAAGGACATGTGAGGAAAAGAGTCCTGGCCCCTGCTCACTTCCAGCATGGATCATAACAAGATTTTCATATTTCATATTGTTCTTTTGAACAAAGCTCTGCAAGCATCCTGCTCACCATGATCCCATCCTCATTGCCAGTTTAGTGCATCTGTGGGGTTCTTGTCCCAGAAAGATCACACAGAAAAGAACAAGGGAACTATCATTATTAGCAACAGCTGAACTTTTAAACACTAAAGTAGAATGGCAAACAGCAACACAAGATAATGGAGT